TGTTTATTAAGAAAAAAACTAAGATTTCAATAGTTGGGCCAACTGAAGTGGGAAGGGGCTCGTACATTTTGCCTGTGATAGCAAATTTCATTTGGTTTGTGATAACCTTGGAATATCTTTGTCAGAATGCACATGGCCGTTTTGGAAACCACTAAAGTACCATTTTTTGTTAATAACAGATAGGGATTAGGTTTTATCTATGCGAGACTAGCGTTACATTTTGCTTATGATAGCAAGTTCCTTATGGTTTGGAATAGCCATCGAACAGAATATGCACATGACAGGTTACGAGACAGCTGAAGTACTACTTGTCATTAACAACATATAGAAATTAGGTACATCTATGGTAGACTAGCATTACATTTTGCTTGTGATAGTAAATTCCACATGGCTGATGATAACTATGGAACAGGACTGTAAAATATCATTAAAATAATAATAATAATAATAATAACAATAATTATTATTATTAGTCCAATACTGCCTTTGGCTAAATTTTCTAAGAAGCCAAGTAGTTCATCGATTTGCGATGTTGAGACTCTATGTTCCATTTTGAAAATTTAACACAAACACCTCCTACTCAGACAAAATCTCAAACAAAAATAAGCCCTATGTTCACGGTTTCTAATGCATTTGCAGCCCTTAATGAACAAGCAGCCTCTTAGAACTATGTAAGTTCTGATTTATGTAGAGAAACATCTGGCACTTGTGACTTGTCAATAGGATGTGATCACCCTCGCGTCATTTTGCGTAGTCGTTTCTGTCTTGAGATAAGTACTTAAGGCTAATCTCTGTGAAGCTGTGTCATCTATTTGTCGACAAATGACTATTTATATTAATTGTGTCTTTTGTCTTACCTTATCAAGGGTTCTACCCTTGGCTTTGTAATCATACACGCATCTGTGGTTTACACTAAAAGAAATGCATTTTTAAGAATAGAACATTGTATTATATAGGTACAACTTACGATTTAAGTTTTCAACACAACTAGCTCACATAGTTAATTTTGAATTCACAATCACGATCCACAGTGCATTCATATCATTGTCGATTTATAAACACGATGACTGTTTACCATCGTATGTCACTTTAATTCTACCGGTTGCTTCTCGATTGATAGTGGCACCGTTTCGGTCGCAAAAATTGCATTCATTGATATTTGGGCAACCGGTCGCCAATTGCGTTAGGTAATACGAATTTTATTTAATAAGTCTGCCCGTGGTATCCTGGACATTAGGGTCTCCCAAGAAAATGAAGGTTCTTCTTCTCAAACGATAATTTTGCTTGAACAATGTCAAAACAATGGAAAATAAAGAATGTACCTAAAACCAGGGCAACCCGTGCCTAGATGCGTTGGAACATGTCAAAAGTTGCATATTGGGCACGTGTTAGCTAATGTATTGCAGTGCTCGTTTGTTCTATGAGTCAACGGACTGTTTTCGTTCAGTCGACATGTCGATGGAATTACTCAGTTCTTAGAAGGGGACGTAAAGTATCTAACTAAACTTCTCTCTGATAGACAAGCACTAGCAGTTTTGTTCTATAATATCGAGGAAGTAAAATTATGCCAATGAGAGCGCCAAACTTATTATCCGTGAGTACATTATTTACTGGGAAACTGCACGTATACCGACTAAATCTTTACCCAACTGTGTTAAGAAACTAGTTACCTTATTCCAGGTTTGGAGAAATTTGCAAAAAATGCAAGCAAAACACAAGAGGCGTTTGAGCAACGTTGACAAGACGTTGTTACGAACTCGGACAATCTGTTTGATATTGCGCATGCCGATGCCCTTCAATTGATAAAAATAAAAAATAAATGAAGATAGGATCTTCATGCAGCGGTACACAAAGCGGCGAGCTAAATATGTTGGTTTCTTAACTTATTCGACAACTTTGCCCTACTCAACTCAGAGCACACTGCCTAATCAAACTCAAATGAGGAAACGTTTCATAACTACAAAATTGGTGGCAGCATTGGATAAGTATGAGAAACGCTGTTTTTATTATTGAAGCAACCATTTATGCACTTGGATATAACACTGACGAATTTCCTATAAGCAAGTCCTCCATTCAAATAATTCGTACCGAAAAGCGAAAGCTTGATTTCCAAAGCGAGGTACCGGATACTGTAACTGTCCACTGAGATGGCAAATTGTAGCTTCCTTTAAATGCGCGCAAGTCTGAAGAAGAACGTCTACCGATTGTTATAAAGTATGAAAATGAAGAGCAACTTATCGCTATGCTCGAATTGCCTCTTCAGGAAGGCTCAGGCAGTTTGGGATGCTATTATTGACTGGAATCTTAAAGATAAGGTACATATTTTCTGTTGTGATACTACTGCTTCAAACACGGTATTGAAAAAAATACTTTAACAGCTGCGTGCTTCTCAAATAGAAACTTAATAAAAAATGCTTATTTTTGCTTGCCGCCATCAGGTCTAGAAATTGGTGTTAAATGGCGTGTTTGAATCAAAGATTGTTCAAGTGACTACAAGCCCTGACATTCCAATGTCTAAAAAGTTTCGCGAGAGCTGTAAAAGTGTGGGTCCGGGAAAACACAGATTTATACTGAAAAGCTACCATGCCTGAATATTTCAGAGACTAACAAGCTGCTAGAACTGTATCGACATGAATTGACTAAATAAGTTGCTAGAGAGGACTATCGAGAATTAGTAGGACTTTCAATAATAGTCCTTGGCGGAGATACAGAGGAAAAACTAAGATTCGACCGCCAGGCGCCAGATATCAAGCTCGACGGATGGCCAGAGCTATCTATTCATTAAAAAGTTCCCAGCTCAAATTTACTAATAAGGAGAAATTAACCCTGTTAGACATCTGTCTGTTCATCGTGAAAAATGCACCTCACCAGGATTTATGCTTTTTAAAGGCAATTAAAGAATTGACAAAACCATTTCAAAAGCAGGTTTACATAAGTTCTGCTAACATTTATGGTATTTGATAGATCATGTATCTGACTTATCTCTGTTTGACGACGCAGATGAGGAAACTAAGGTAAAAACTGTTGCTTATTTAACCACAGAAAGTCCATCAGCCTATGGTAAATGCTACAACCCATTGAAAGAAGGACTTTCTGGCCCACTTTATGGTAAGTCTGACGAATAAGTTTTTCTTTGCCTTCTTTTACTGCTTCAATATAATATTCCAACTGTTAACGTAAGCGAATATAAACTGTGATTCTGGCAATTAATGGCACCTTATACTGTATTGTTTCGATAGACGTTATACTTCAGTTAGAGGTTAGTTGCTATGCTTTCGTTCGTTATCCTGACCTGAGGCGTAGAGCTGACGATGCTGATAAGTTGCCAAAGAGCACAAGACATCTGTTCATGGTTGACTATCTGTGGTCGGACGAACAAAGCGAGTATGTTTAGATGGGAGCTATTCTTCGTTTTTCATTCCAGATAAAAATATCGAAGACTTTGTTTCAATCAAAGGCAAGTCCGTGTTCAGTCGACTAAAAAATGATGACAGTTTTCCCGACGAGTATCCAACTTAATGACCACATAATGATTCTTTTCAACACGCTGAGACTAAGGTGTAAACACTGAGACCACTTAACGATACGGCAGAAAGAGCAGTCAACTTAATGCAAGACTCCAATAATCACTGTTGATGAGGAACAAAAACAATTTTTATTACGTTGCGTACAAGAACCCTGGCAGAGATATTCTTACTGTAAGAAGAAACTTTGATTTAGTAAATAATATTATTTTGATGCTAAATAGTTAAGAATTATAAGATTCAAATAAAGCAGTGTTTTATTTTTCGAATAAGAATTAGGTTTTAAAATCCATACATGGTTTCCCTATTAAGTTTCAAATTCAAAGTTTGACCGAAGGTCGGCACGGGCTATAGTACCCCGATCGCAATAATATTTATTTTTCGAATTGTTAGGGTCAAATGGAAAAAATAGAGGGTATGCGAATCTCAATCCGAACAAAAATTTTTTTGTCCTCATAGGCTGGGACACCCTACTGGACATTGAGGCAGTAGCTATATCTGTGCTATTAATAAAATGTTTTTTTTTTGTCAGGATTGTGGTGGAAACCTATTAGGCCTTATCATGGAGCATCATTATGTTGATGGACCTCTCACCAAGATCGATACTCATTTTAGAAATTTGATACGGTAGTAATTACGCAAATGGCAACACGGTTTCTAAACGGGCGGCGGGGCAGTCTGTTGTTTTTATGTGTGCGGCGGCACAGCGGCAAACCGCACCGCCTGCCTGATCACGTATCCCCGCACAAATTGGCTAATTATCGTTTGTTTGGTCTGCTTCAGCCGTAAAATAGGCAAATGGCCAATTGGAATACGGCCGGCAACGGCCGTTATTGGCCTGCCGTATTAGTATAGGAGCTAGCACCGTTTTCGAGAAAGAATTTCAGGTCAGCTGATTTTTTAATATGTTGTCCTTCTTCCTCTTTTGGGTAGAGCCTAGGCTATCTGGCTGGCGGTAGCGGTTGCGTTAATTGGTGCGCATCCTACCTGTACAGGTAATAATCCAAGGTTTTGAAAGTATTTCAAGAAGCTAAATTTTTAATTTCTTATCTTTAGATAGGTTTACCAAACACTATTTTTTTATTGCCAGACACTTTTATCATTGCAAATGATATGCCATACGCGATCTTTTTTTTTTTTTTTAAATTTCAAATCATTATAGTACGTCTGTCATTTTAATATTACATTATTTGAATATATAAAAACCTAAAATTAATTTGCCAAACATTAATTCGATTGCTAAACCTTGAAAAAGAACGACAAACCTGAGAAATCCACACAGCGTCGTGCTAGTAGTTAGAGAGAGATAGTTGTAAGATGTACTGCCGAGAAGAAGACGGAAAATCATTACAAAACTACAAATCTTGATGGAAAAAATGAAATATGAAGAAAATTATATTAGAATATATTCTAGTCAAAAACGAAAAAATTAAAATGCATTATTGAAGGTTTAAAAATTAAATTTTTTATTTATAATGCTCAGGTAACACACATAAATAACAAATTAAAAATATTAAGAATTCTTATTTAGTTTTTAAATATTTCATTCCATAATCGTATTACAAACGAAGGATGCATCTTCACAATCGTCATCATCGTCGCTCTCATTGCTAGAAGTATTGAAATCATCGTCTTGGTCATTGTCATCATTTCTTAAAACTCTCTCATCTGTAACAAAAAAAAGTTAATATAGTACAGTTTTTGTCGTTTCTTATATGATATTTTACTGATTATTGATAGATATTCTATTGCATATTTACTTTGAATAATAATATCAGCAATTGATGATGGTAACTGCTCTCCCAGGAACCAGACAAAATCATATTTATTATCTTTGATGGTCCAACCGGAAGCAACTGGAGATAAAGAAGTTGGATGTTTCAAGTGAGCATTCCTCCAAAGTTTAGTCACGTAGCGCACTCTCAATAAATGCTGTTGCAATTCCGCTTTACAGGGTGGCAAACTCGATGAGTCAAAGTTTCGAAATTTCTTCTCAAAATTTTCATCGGATTTTTTTGATTGAAAAGTATTTGAGAATAAATGAAATCGAACACTATTCACATCTGAAGAATTTTTAACTCCATACATTTGACAAACAAACTTCTCAAGGATTACAAAAGTACTGTCAAGTAAATCTTCGTTATCCGTAGTTATGTTTCCAAACGCTGATTGATATTCTTTAGATTTTTCCAAAATTTTAAAAGGTCTAGCTTTACCTTTTCTAAAGAATGCTGGCGTGTAATCGCACCCCGTGATTGCGTGGAAGCATGGTAAAGCTTTTGATAGAGAATCACCAAGGATTCGGTATAATTCATTAACGTTTACGTATCGCTGATGATTGCCTACACCGATGTTAATCCAAATCTTCAAAAATGCATTGAGGGTCTACGAAACCAGTTTATCAATGAATGTGCCAAGGATGAGAGTAGATTTGATAAGCCGATTAAAAAAAATCGAGTTTTAAATTTTACTGAAGCTCCAAAGAAAAAGAAGTTAGCTCTCGGGAATAAAGTTGTTGAACTGCGCATGCAAAGAGATTTATTTGGTCGAATGTTGGGAATTTCCCTTACTCACAAGGTTGACATTGAAAAAGTTTTGTCATTCCCACTTACTCCGATGCCAACGTCTATGTGTCATCCAGATGGTTCAATTTGTAAAACCGACAAAGCACAATTAACAAAATTGATGGAGAAGAAATTGGAAACTGCGATCGATCAACAGCCGTCATCTTTTGACATTAGTATCGTTGATGGTTTTTTTATGTTGCATCTCATGAAAGAGATACCACAAACTTTTGATGGAATCGCTAAAAAGTTTCTTTCTGCGATCTCCCAAATGAAATCAGTTCGGATCGATGTGATTTTTGACCAATACTTTTCACCATCAATTAAGGATTTTGAACGTTCACGTCGAGAAGAGTCAACCATTCCAGTATCTATCGGTCCGAATCAAATTCGGCCACACAATTTCGGAGCAGAACTTAAAAACATGGAATTTAAAATAGCTCTAGTTAACTTTTTTATTGATCACTGGGATAGTGAAGACATGGTACCTTTTATTGGTAATAAAATTATTTATGTAAGTTTCAACAAATGTTATTCGTATAAAGTCTTGAATAACAAAGTTGTACGGAGTATCGAAGAATCTCTATCATGTGAAGAACACGAAGAAGCTGATTCTCGCATTATTTATCATATATGTCAAATTGATTTCGATGCCGACGTTGTTATACGCTGTTCTGACTCCGATATTTTAATTATATTACTGGGTAATATGGATCACCTCAATGCATTTTTGAAGATTTGGATTAACATCGGTGTAGGCAATCATCAGCGATACGTAAACGTTAATGAATTATACCGAATCCTTGGTGATTCTCTATCAAAAGCTTTACCATGCTTCCACGCAATCACGGGGTGCGATTACACGCCAGCATTCTTTAGAAAAGGTAAAGTTAGACCTTTTAAAATTTTGGAAAAATCTAAAGAATATCAATCAGCGTTTGGAAACATAACTACGGATAACGAAGATTTACTTGACAGTACTTTTGTAATCCTTGAGAAGTTTGTTTGTCAAATGTATGGAGTTAAAAATTCTTCAGATGTGAATAGTGTTCGATTTCATTTATTCTCAAATACTTTTCAATCAAAAAAATCCGATGAAAATTTTAAGAAGAAATTTCGAAACTTTGACTCATCGAGTTTGCCACCCTGTAAAGCGGAATTGCAACAGCATTTATTGAGAGTGCGCTACGTGACTAAACTTTGGAGGAATGCTCACTTGAAACATCCAACTTCTTTATCTCCAGTTGCTTCCGGTTGGACCATCAAAGATAATAAATATGATTTTGTCTGGTTCCTGGGAGAGCAGTTACCATCATCAATTGCTGATATTATTATTCAAAGTAAGTATGCAATAGAATATCTATCAATAATCAGTAAAATATCATATAAGAAACGACAAAAACTGTACTATATTAACTTTTTTTTGTTACAGATGAGAGAGTTTTAAGAAATGATGACAATGACCAAGACGATGATTTCAATACTTCTAGCAATGAGAGCGACGATGATGACGATTGTGAAGATGCATCCTTCGTTTGTAATACGATTATGGAATGAAATATTTAAAAACTAAAGAAGAATTCTTAATATTTTTAATTTGTTATTTATGTGTGTTACCTGAGCATTATAAATAAAAAATTTAATTTTTAAACCTTCAATAATGCATTTTATTTTTTTCGTTTTTGACTAGAATATATTCTAATATAATTTTCTTCATATTTCATTTTTTCCATCAAGATTTGTAGTTTTGTAATGATTTTCCGTCTTCTTCTCGGCAGTACACCTTACAACTATCTCTCTCTAACTACTAGCACGACGCTGTGTGGATTTCTCAGGTTTGTCGTTCTTTTTCAAGGTTTAGCAATCGAATTAATGTTTGGCAAATTAATTTTAGGTTTTTATATATTCAAATAATGTAATATTAAAATGACAGACGTACTATAATGATTTGAAATTTAAAAAAAAAAAAAAAAGGTCGCGTATGGCATATCATTGGCAATGATAAAAGTGTCTGGCAATAAAAAAATAGTGTCTGGTAAACCTATCTAAAGATAAGAAATTAAAAATTTAGCTTCTTGAAATACTTTCAAAACCTTGGATTATAACCTGTACAGGTAGGATGCGCACTAATGAACGCAACCGCTACCGCCAGCCAGATAGCCTAGGCTCTACCCAAAAGAGGAAGAAGGATAACATATCAAAAAATCAGCTGACCTGAAATTGTTGTTTTCCCGACGCTACTAGCTCCCGGACTATGTAGCCGATGCGGCATTCACTCTCGGAGAGCAGGAGAGTAACGGATCAGTTTGCACTTTCGTAGTGGACCCTTAGTAGCCCGGAAAGTGGTCGTTTGGAGTGTTTACAGTATATATCTACAAATTACTTTTTAATGCGCGTCTGCAATAAACAGATAAGTCTATTGGCATATAGGTGAAAAAAAAATCACATTACATTCCCGACGATATTAGAAAATTCTGTAGTAGAATATTTTGCGTTCAAAGGCCATAGAAGCTCAGCCCCAAGACCATTTTGAAATAGGTACCTGGAATGCAGCAACTTGACATATCTTGATGCTCCTATGACAGTGTAGGGTATCTTAACTAAAAACATAAGCTATTTTCCCAATATCGTAGCCTGAGCTCCTGAAAAAATAAACAGTGAAGTAAATATCCGAGAAAGTGTCACAAAAAGGATGGTCTATATATGGTTTTTAAAAATAAATAAATAATGTAAATTTTATCACCTTTGGCCAGCTGGTAGCAAACGAACTTTCTTTGGAGAGACGTCGACTTACACACAGAGTGGCCGTAATTTAGACTTGGTAATTTCCGGGTTGACTTCCTCCCTTACACATATACACACACATGCACAAACATATACTTGTTAAATATGCGGGAGCGCTTCCTCGCGGTCAAAGCGAATTTCACTTCGCGCCGGAGAATATATCCCTTGGGATTTACCGGCTGGGCACTCGTACCGTATTGCCAGCTTTCGTGTCTACATTTCATCGTGGAAAGTGAAACTTATAGCTAATTTGTCTTCCACTCTTGCCAGTCAATCGAGCGAAACGATGTGACATTCAGTCGTCCAGAAGAGCGGAAAGCTGCCAAAAATACAATGTCCACAGAATTTTAAATATATAGGCACAACAAGGTTATTTGAGTGGCTGATTTCAGATCCAGGGCATTTCAAGTTCAGCCTGGCAGTTGAATGCAGTAACATCTCATTTGGGTTTTTCGGTTCGCCGAATTCATATAAGTGGTTAACTACTCCGAGAACTTCAAGGTCAGTTTAACGACAAATTCAAAATAAGTCTAGCATTCGAGTCCAGATGCGGGACGTAGAGGTTTCTGCGGTCGTTGCGTCGAAATCAGAGATAAGTTTATCTCTAGGAACACATTTGAAACTAACTCAGGAGACAAATTCAAGAAATTTGAAAAATCGATTCTGATCCACCTGCTATAATATGGCAGTATACAAAATTGCGTGCCTCAATGGATTGTAAAGGTTAGCAGGAATGATACTGCAATTTCTCTAGGAGTACTTCAAAGTCCGCAAACCTCATTTATCCTACTTTGAGCAGCTGCTAGAACCTCTCTAAATATTACTCAGCTAAAAAGTGACTAAAAATAGTATTCTGTTCAACCGTCCGTACCCTCTTAATCACGATCCATATCCAGGTATCCTAAATTTTTGAACAGATTATTTACAACCACTCACATTTTTCCATAAAAAAGTATTGTCGAACGGTAAAAGTTTGATTGTCTGCCATAGTAAAGGCAGCGTGAAAAAAGTTCTGTATTAATGGCTTATTATTTGAAGTAGGTAATGAATTTCACTGATTTTTTTACTTTGTTTTCTGAATTTTTGCCAAGTTTTCACATAAATTAGCCTCTGTGAGTCAGTAAGACTGTAACCTAACCCAAAGATGAGACAAAAATCTTCATCAAGGACGTTGAGGCAAATTCCACCATTGACGTTCATCGTAACGTTCAAGTGGCATCGATGTCCCCAATATTATGGAAAAAGTAACCTTCTGCCGACAAAGCTTCTGGTACAAACATGATCCCTGGAATAGTCTTGAAGAAACATGCTCCGAATATCGCTCAGAACATTATATTTACGTCCCAGAGGTCTGGAGTTCGCTAATACTAAACAACTAAACTTGTACCATAAAAAATAGTAAAGTAAAAAATAATTCTTTTGTATTTCTACTGACTCGATTAAGTTTCATAAAATCATATCAGGAGCAGGTAATAATAATTTAGCTTTGTACTATTTAGCATGTCACTTATCGGTAACCAGTGCAACTTGTATTTAAATCCAATAATTACATTGTAGTGTGTGTGTCAGTCACTTACAAAAGCAGCTATAACTTTTTTCTATTATAAATAGTACGTGGTGCCTTTCTGAAATCTGTATTCAATGTGCAATCTTTTTATTCAATATAATGCAGTTATAGCCCAGTACATTTTTGTTTCACGACAGATGTGTCAAAGTTGAGGAAAAAATATCAGAAGGTTATTAATCGGAAAATAGTCCTTATTTGATCATGGTTCCTCAATATCTTTTGGATACATTGCATTTGTATATGATAAAGCAACTATTCTAGAAGTATTTTATAGAAAAAATGAACAAAGTATATGCACAGATGAAATGGTTCGTTTTTTTAAACATTTAAGAAAAAATTCAATATCTCAAAAACGGTGACACTTTTATATAGGTAAGTTTATGTTATTTGGGAGGCCAGTCCAAAGCCTACCTTCTCCTTAAGTTAATAAAAACTGATAACTGTATCAACAGAGAGGACTGGTAGTACTGAATCATAGGCTAGTGCATTCTATATGCTCATTTAATTCATTAGGCAAATGATCTATCAAGATTTCGTTCACCTGTTTTTCCAATTAAATGTAATTACTGATTATTTGTACTGTTACTGGTAGTTTAACATTTATGCCGCAATTTATAGTTCGGTAACTGTTTATTATAACTAATAGTGTCTTTATCGGTTACTTTCAAATTTCGGTGTTATAAACATGACAAGTGTTAATGCTCTAGTATTCGGAAAACATGTGATACTTTTAAAATGTAGATTCAAAAACTTCGCAACAGTGATAGAGAGGCTTCATACCGGATATATACGATAATTCGCTTTTGTACAACAAAATCTCTTTCAATTTCAGATGATTTCTTCCAGACGGTAATATTGTAAGGTACAGTAGCGCTCAAAAGTATTTTGACAAGTGGAAACTTACTCCTACGTATTTGTAAATAGATACGGTTTCTGCTATTTGTACCTTACGTCGTAGCTACACGTATTGCAAGAAAAAAGAATCGAGTTGTTTGTTTACATTGTGGGTACTCCACGAAAAAAGTTTGAATAGGCGCTCATAAGTATTCAGGTGCCAATGGTCAACGGTATCACTTGCACTGGATAGAAAGGTTGTATAATTGTTTAACTCGCCGAAGACAAAAGAATATTCTTTCGACTTCGCTAGATGGTTTAAGGTATCCTGCCAACTGGTTAGCACTTGGAATACGACTTTTAGTAATCATAAGAAAGTGGAGAGCATGCCTCGTACTAGACGCCTATATGAGGCTAACGTCGTTGCTCTCGATATATCTCTTAGTTGCAGTTCTATCACCTTTTCTGTTATAATTCCTTGGCCGTGAAATTCAATTCGCAGCTTGGATTTATCTCTGCGGTTGAGCTAAGCAGACCAAAAACCTGGAAATGGCCACTGCCAGAATATGTAGTAATTCGGTGAATTTTAATTCATTTAAAGCATGATACTGTGTAAATAGACACTTAAGCGTGCTTGTCAGAGTTCAGACCACGAGAGCTAGAAAATACGTCTCACTACTTAACCTTGCTCTGTACAAGACCCGGGTGAAACCCAGCCTTGAAAAATATCTGCTGTTTCATCTGTATTTGATACGTTTCAGAAGACGATTGTCTAAGTAATTGGTAACACGTGGTTCATCGACTGGTGCTTGCTGATTGGCTGTCTCAACTGACGTGCTAATAGACTGAGCTATCCTCTTTCTCTAAGTTGTCGCCGCTTTCTAGTAGTTGACCGGTACGATCGGTCCTTCGTTTCAAGAGAATCGAGCATGCAAAGCAATTTGTCAAAAGAGGCATCCCCGATTCTATTGACCTTAGGATTGGAACTGGTATTCATAAAGGTCACGAAATTTTGGCACCCAGGCTGCTGCAGTAAAAAGAGTGGGAGACTGAGGCAATCTAGCTCAGTATTTTCAAGTCTATTTGGAATGCTCTCGTTTTCTTCTACCAGTTTTCCACAAAAAAAAATTCTGACGAGCTATATTCCCCCCCAGATCATTCCACTCAAATCCCCAATCGATTAGATGATGTGATACCGGCTGCAGCTAAGAATAAAAGAACATGGACGAAAAAGACGCCAGTACGGGGAAAGCACGTCTCCTCCATTATACAGCAAGCAAAAGCCACTGGAGGGTGTTCGGAAAATGGCAATCGTAAACCTAATCGCTGATTTAAATCCGGAATTGAATTTCTCCTGATGGGTACTCCCGGCAATGGTATCAGGAGGAATCGGCTGCAATTCAATATTCCTCGATCTAATGAGATGTGTCCGGGCCAGAAGTTATAGATATGCTTAGTATGCCCGTTCTTTTACAGGGTGAATTGGATCTGAAAGTTTTTTT